TAACCCTAATTACCTCCCCCTCCCAAAACCCAAACCAAACCCAACCCAAAGAGGTGAAGCGGCACCCAGGGCTAGGATGCGGGCGCAGGTTACAGTGTCGCCGCCTGAGGGCTGGAGGCTCGCCGCTGGGAAGGCTGTGGGGTGTGGCTCCGCCGGGCCGCTCCCGCTCCGCTCCGCAGCCCTCGGCGGCTGACCTTCCCTCTCCCACCTCCCACTTTATCTCCCGCCAGCTTATGTGTCATCGTGGAAGCGCTCCTATTAGAGGTGCTCAGTTAGTGACACAAAGTAACGTGAAGAAATCAGCCCCACCGTTTGCAGCTTTTCGGATGCTAGCTGGGTTGCTTCAGGTGTAAAATGTTCCCTCAGTAGAAATCCCTGTTTCTTCAGCTCTTCAATGTAGTTTTCGTAGTATTCGCTTGCATCTGCTGACGTCTCCTTCACAGAGAATTGTCTTCTAGTCTGTGAATTACAGGATGGAGCAGATGGAGCAAAGGGTTAGGAGGTGAGGATATGGTAACTTACCAACAGAAGGGTCTTTGTTGAACACCTGCTGTGTACCCTGGGGACAGAACACAAAGGAGGTGTTAGTTCCCTGACATTCAGGAGCTTAGAAACTAGTTTTTTTTTTTTTTAAAGAATTACTTACATCTTCAATTCTTCACAAAACAGCCTAAAACCTGAAAGTAAGGGGGAAGCCTGGGCAGGCACAGCCTGCAGAAAAGACACGTGTGGTTCACCCAAGAGCCTCAGGCAGTCCCTCAGAGCCCACACTGTCTTCTACATGTTATTCTGATCAGCTATGAGGCCTGGCTTTCTAGCTTTCTGGAAATGAGAAAAATCAGGGGAGGAGATGGAAGGAAAAATGCCTCAGAAAGAGGCGTTGTGAGAGCCAGGAGACAGCAAGCAGAAAGGACAACCATGGGCGAGGGGAAAGGCGGGGACCCTGGCAGGTCCTGTCAAAGGCAGACGAGGGGCCCGTGGACAGCACCCCTTCCCCTTGCACGTGTCTCCTCCTGTAAGTCTGAACGTCCAGAGGATACCCTGATGGGGGCTGCAGGTTTTATTTGAATTTTAGGTTTCGGCTTTGGGTTTCCTTTTGTAATTGTTTTTGGTTGGAACCATGCCCTTGACCTGACACTGACCAAGCAAGGATCATGGCCTCTGCACAGCCTTTCTGGCTGTGCCCGAGCCCCCGACACTCCATACACATCTCAGCACAGTTCAGTCTTGGGGGGCTGCAGTGGCGTGTTGTTCCCCACAGGTGGGGTAGGAAGTCTTTTCGTCTGTGGGTTCTGGCCTCTACGGGATTACTTGGTACACAGTAGATGCTTAATGGAGTGAGTGAGGGGACTACTTGCATGGTGTAACCACTGGGAGCATTTCCGTGAGTGGCTCAGGCAGGAGCCTGCACCCAGTGGATGCCCCCCTCTGCCAAGAATTCCTGCTGCTCTGGGCGGTGAGGTCTCACCTGCTCTCCCACCTCCACATCGCAGAAGAACACCCTCCACCCCTCAAAACTTAACCAGCTAAAACGAAAAAGTTAACGCACAGGCTGGTTCACGTGCCCAGTTCTAAGCAGGTGAGTCACTAGCAGGGTGGATAAACCCGAGGCATCAGCACGAAGCCCCTACCTTGGCGGTGTCGGCCTGGAGGAAGTGGGCGGCTATCAGGAAGGTGTGGTCCCCAGGGTCCTGGGAGCACCGCAGCTCCACCACTGCCCTCTCTGTGCCCTGCTGCGGCCCCGCCTGGAAAACAGGGTGCTCCTTCATAAGCTGGACTCATTCAGTAACAACCCACATGTGCCATTTTAAAATGCTGATTACAAAATAGATACATGTTCATCAGCAGATTTAATTTAGAAAATACAGAAAGTAAACAGAAAAAATAAAAGTCACCTGAGCTCATGCACTGATATCTAGTCACTGTTGGTTTTTTTATATTTCCTTCCAGTATGTTTCCTTCAGACTCATCTGTGTATATTTAAACTGCACTGCTTTTGATGTTTTCTTAATCACAGAGGAAATGTTATTTCTACACTACATTTTATTAAAATACCTAAAAAATACAAATGGAGCATCATTTTGAATGCTGGTGTTATTTTGCATTTGTATGATATTGGAGAAAAAGTTTTTGTTTTTCTTTTTAATGAAAAGTAATGGAAATTCAACATAGTGTAAATACTTGGTGTCAAATGTACTCTGAAAATATAAGAAACTGTTAAGAACAGGGAGGAGTACCTTTATTTTTAATGTCTTACTAAGATTTTGTACTGTTTACATTTTTATTATAAGCATGCATTTCTTTTATAGAAAATGCTAAACAAATTAAATCTTAAATGTAACAATTTTCTTGACTATTAAAAATCAACTGATAAATTAAGGAATATTTATTCAGGATATGCACAATTTTTCAAATGAATGAGAAAATTATCAAACAGGAAAAATTGAAGCCTTCAAACATTTTTTTTCCCCCAAATAGAATCAGACTCCTTGGTGAAAAAGAATAAGAAAATGAATATATGTATATTTGTGTATGACTGAAGAATTGTGCTGCACACCAGAAATTGACACAACATTGTAAACTGATTATACCTCAATTAAAAAAGAAGAAACCAGACTCTTACTTTTTCCAAGGTGTTGTATTTTGCAACTTCAAAATCTTGAGGAAAATGAGGAATTTCAACATTCTCTGCATAAAACCTGAAATTTGTGTAATAAAAGTTTAACATTAAAATGAACTTTTAGACTAAACAGAATTTCCATAAAAACGTAGATCTCCTAGCTCACATGAAATAAAGCCCCTAACGCCTCCTTGGAGATGCAAAATATGGTTGAGAGGTCTTGGGAAATGCCTGGGTCCCCTCTGCACAGTCCTGTGGCCCCGATGCCAGCACTGTGGGGGTCTGCCCTGGAGGGCGGTGGCAGAAGCAGAGGTGAAGGAGAACCGGCAGGGGCACCGGGGACGCACCGCTGTCCAGGGACAGGAGACCTGTGCTCACCCGGGCTCCGGCCATAAAGCTGGTCACTCCAGGCAGGCCATGCCAACTCCCCTTCCAGATAAAGGTGTCGTGCACACAAACAAACACGTGAATGAATGACGTGAAGGTGTCAGACTTCTCCTAAACTGTACTTTTAATTTTGATATTTGTTCTCTCTTTTAACATGAAGATTAACAAATAAATTAAGACCAAACGTGATGATGTCTAACTGATGCTGCAGTTAGGGGCCTGCAGTGTAAGGAGCCATACAGAACTTCAGACTCACAGACTCCATTTGGGGAAGGTTGTGTTATTTCCATTTTTAAAAAAATTTTTCTTTCTTTCTTTCTTTTTTTTGTATTTCATTATTTATTTATTTAAATGATTTACTAAAGTGAAATTCACAGTCTAGAAATTAACCATTTTAAAAGGAACAATTCAGTGGCATTTAGTACATTCACAGTGTTGTGCAAACACCACTTCTATCTAGTTCCAGAACATTTCCACCACCCAAAATACAACCTCTTTCCACACTAAGCACTTTCCTCTACGGACACCTCCTCCCAGCCCCCCGTAACCCCCACTTCTCAGTCTCTCTTTGGATTTATCTATTCTGGATATCTTTCTTTAATTAACATATATGTACTGTTCATTGTTTCTTAGGACAGTTTAGAGCTTCAGCCTTTTAAACTTACATAGTTATCATATGAATAAAGCCAACCACAAAATAAGAATCAACAGAATGCGGTAATCCAGTCATAAAGGACAGTCAGATGTGCTGACACACATTCAAGATATCAGCCATCTTAGTTATAAATAATAAGTAGTGCATTTGTGCCTTTTTTTTTGAAGATTCCACATGTATGTTATCTTCATTTTTAAAAAATACCACGTAGAGAGTAACGCCTTGACTCTGAAGGCTGTTCAGCAAGGCAGCAGAGCGAACAGACCGCCCAAATCTCATCTCCAGTGGTCTTCTTTTTTAAAATCAATCTAACAATTACATCTAATCTCCTATAATACTGATGGGATAAAAGTAAGGATCAGTATAGTAGCTGAAGTAAGGCTTAAATAAAAACTTAATAAAGAGTTAGATAAGCAAGATCCATTAAAATACTGCAAAAACATTGAGGTGCCAACAGCATTTAATGCTGTGCGCGAGGTTTACAAAACATTTTGCAAACTGTCGAGTCATAAGGATCAAAAGTAAGTTACTTAGTGAGTTGCACAACTTCCTTCTCCGGGGAACTGTCCAGGGACACATCACCAGTTTTCACTCCTAGAATTAAAACAAATAAAACACGTTTACTGCTTCGAGATTTATTAAAATTAATTAACAATAAATGCTGGAATTGTTAAGATTCTTGAATGTGGTCATATTTGCCATGCTATTCTATTTTCTTAGGTGTCCTTAAGTTAGCTATAGTTACTAGTAATCTAAGGACAAGTGGGAAAAGAGGAAGGTGATTAAAAGATAGTCAGGACACATTGTAATTCTATTTGTTAGACAAGCGAGACTTCTGTTGGAATATGTACCGTTTGGAACTCACTGATAGGTACACAATTTCGGTTCTGGAGATTATGGCAAACATAGCCAGGAAGTGCATTTCTCACACTCTGCAGACCAGAATGAGTGCCCGAGTGCTATCACGCTACAGACAAAGGAACCAGGGATGTTCCAGGTTAGACAGAAATCCAGGATTCTATGTGAGGCCAGCAATTTTGCTTCACATTTTTCTTACAGAGGAATTGTAATGCTATGTATAACATTATGATATATAGGAATAACTTTTAATGCAAGGACTTCTTTCATTTTAATTATGCTTTCAAGATTTCAAAGGTCATCAATGTATTTATAGTAATTCTGAATCAGACTGTATTACTCTGGATATTGAAAAATATTTCAATGTAAAAGGAGTTTACTACCCTTCCTATTTTGTTTTAGCTACCAATGTCTGAGCAAGAAAGTCTGATATAACAGCACTTCTGGGCAATCACTTGTCTAAAGAGGCTGCACCACACCAAAACATTTAGATTTCTATAACTCATAAATGATACAACTGACATCACACAATATGATGTCATGTGCTTATTATAAATCAGTATTTATCAAAACTGCCTACAAGGACCTACTGTATAGCATAGGGAACTATATTCACTATCTTGTAATAACCTATAATGGAAAAGAATACATATGTGTGTGAGTATATATACTGATGAATCACTTTGCTGTACACCTGAAACTAACACAACACTAAATCAACTATACTTCAACAAAAACAACAAAAAATAGAACTGCCTGACTTTTTAAATTGAAGTATAGTTGATTTACAATATTGTATTCATTTCCGGTATATGCCATAGTGATTCAATATTTTATAGATTACATTCCACGAAAGGTTACTACAAGATAATGGCTGTATTTCCCTGTGCTATACAATATATCTTTGTTGCTTGTTTATTTTATACAGAGTAGTTTGGACCTTTTAATCCTCCACCCCTCTCCTGCTCCTACCCCCTTCCATTTCCCCATTAGTAACCCTTAGTTTATTCTCTATATCTGTGAATGTTTCTATCTTATCTTCATTCATTTTATTTTTTAGATTCCACATGTAAGTGGAAACATACAGTATTTGCCTTTGTCTGTCTGAATTATTTCACTGAGCATAATACCTTCCAGGTCCATCCATACAGTTGCAAATGGAAGAATTTCATTCTTTCTTATGACTGAGTAGTATTCCATTGTGTATATATACCACATCTTCTTTATCCACTCGTCTGTTGATGGAAACTTAGATGTTTCCATATTTTGGCTATTGTAAATAATGCTGCTGTGAACATTGGGGTGAATGGATCTGTTTGAGTTACTGTTTTTGTTTTCCAGGGGTTGAATTACTGGCTCATACAGTTACTGAATTTTTAGTTCTCTGAGGACCCTCCATACTGTTTTCCACAATGGCTGCATGAGTTTACGTTCTCCTCAACAGTGTATGAGGCTCCCTTTTCTTCACACCCTCTGCAGCATGTATCTGTAGACTTCTGGATGATGGCCAGCCTGCAGGTATGAAGCAGTATCTCACTGTAGTTCTGATTTGCAAGAACGACTTGACTTCTGACGTGACTGATGAGGAGTGCATTTCTCTATGTCCAAAGGCTTTCGTTTTGGACAGATTCTGAGATAAAATGCAGGTTACTAAAGGAGCTGTGTTTCCGCTGGAAACCCCGCGGCCTGACCTTCCTTCCTGTCCTTCTGCGGTCCATTCCCTCCTCCTGCCGCAGCCACACAGCCTGGGGCAGGGGTGCCTGCGTTTCCCCCTTGACGCCCCCGCTGCTCAGGGCCCCGCCACCTTGGGCATTTCTGCTCAAGGTAACCACAACCCTCTCTTCAAATTCCGCCAAAAAAGAGAATACGCTTCGGGCCATTATCTCAGGGTGAACTTTCTGACCAAGCACACAACCACCCAGAGGCCGGGGAGAGAGCAGTCCAACCTCACGCCTCACCGCCGAGCCCCTCAGGGACCCAGCTGATGATGGGGCCCGTTTCCTAGCTTGTCCGTTCTGTCCTGGACACGAGGCCTGCTGGCCTGTCTCTTGTTTTTCCCGGTTTAGGACTTTGACTTTGTGCAACATGGCTGAGAGAAGAGCGAGCGGCTGAGAGAAGAGCGAGCGGCTCAGCTGGCCTGCTGGATGAAGGAACAGGCCTTGGAAATGTCATCGATAACTGTGTTTGTGAACATACCCTGACAGCCAAAATGCCTTTTTTGTGGGAGATCTGGGAAAGACTGAAGAAACACAGTCGGTCGCTCAGATAAAGCTGTTCCACACAGTGAAGTGCGGCTCCACTCCAGCCCGGCTTCACATTTTGGCAGCTCTTGGAACTGGACTTGCTTGTTCTGGTAAAACTGAAATGGCTTTAGGGCAAGATTGGGTATCTCACCAGAAAACCTACTGTATATAACTCCTTGCAAGCAACCACCCCAGATAAAGTGTGCAGCAAAAGTTGGAGTGAATATCACAACATGTGACTAAATCAAATAGCAGAAAATCACACACAATCACCCAACAGCCAGGGCTGTATTTCGTTAGTTCCCTGGACTCGTCCATCTTGGACTGGGAGCGCTGGCAATGCCAATGCACCGCCACCCCATCCAGGCTTCACATGTGCTGCCGCTGACGTGAACCGAGTCTGCCCAACCATCCTCCCCTTCACCTGGGGTCTCACGACTCACTGCAGGAGAAGACAGTATTGCAGGGGAGAGGGTGACAGGAAGTCTGACACGTCCCAGAAGAATGGCAGGTGTTTGGGGGAATGTCTTAAGGAACTTGTTGTCTAAGTTACTGGGGTTAAATTTCATGTTTTAAGTGCTTGCAAAAATCTCCAGTATGCGTCCATGCTCTGCTGTGTGCCTGGTGAACCTGGCTTCACGGTGAACGTGTCAGACGTTGGTGGAGGCTCCACAGGAACGGAATTTTGGCTAGAACAGGTTAATCATGTTACCAGCCCTTTGCTGGATGTCTGCTTTCCTGAAGGATCTGACAGTAGAATAATCCCAGAAGATACAACATGTCTTCTGCATTTTTGTTTGCAGTTAATATTATTGCAAAGAAAGTTGTTGGAAATGATAAATTTTCCTCCAGAGTAGAAAAAGCCGTATGTGATGCACCAGCCTTCGTGTCTTATATGAATGATGGTGTTGATGGTTCTTTTCCAAGTAAACTGTTTAAGGCTCTAGCTGTCATCCCACAGGTTCAAAGAAACACAAGGACGACGAACCTGTTAACAACAGCCCTGGGTTCCATCCTGTGAAGAGCTTGACCAAACTGGGGAAAACTCTTCCTCCTGAATGTGGGACACATGCTTTTCCTTGACAATCTGGGATCAGATTCTTTCCACGAACCATCTGCTTCTAATGATTTTTCAGAGCCAGCCAGTCATGACATGTTGTCCAGCAACTTGTACGAGATGCAGGACACAGGAGTCACTTCAGACACAATGATGGAGAACCTCCCCCCACCCCACTTCACCAGCTGAGCCAGCAAGGCAGCTTCTCCACTAAGCTCGGACCCACACTAACCCTTCTTTAGATCCGAAGTTGCCGGTGAAGCTTGTCTGGTCCTCATCTCAGAGTGGAAAGAATTCGAATGATCTTAGTCTGTTAATTCTCTTGGAGACAAAAAGTATTAGCAATAGCTATTTGGGACCAGCTGAAATCAGCTTTCACCTATGATTCACTGGGGGTAATTGGGAGATTTAGGTAATGCATCCAGATTTAAACTGACCAGTTTGCCCTACGCCTTAAGCATGTAAAATAAAATACGTAACAAAATGGATGACCTAGTGGTGACAGAAGCCCATTACCTGGGTTCCCCATTACGCCGTTTACATACAAGTACACTGTTTTATACTAAGGACCCATGTTAAAAAGTCTTGTAAAGTTAATTTCTTACACCCAGATATATCAGACGTCAGTGGAAGACCAGTGTGACTTCATTGGATATGTTCAGTGTATACAGAATGTGAAAACCTGTGCTTTGAAGTGGAGTTTAATAAATGCCCAGTTACATCATAGTATTTGTTGTATTTGACCTAATGTAACCTTTGTAGGATTCCAATAAGATTTTGTGTGGTCTTTAAAAATTACACATCAAGTTTTCTGAGGTTATCATGGTTTTTTTAGTCCTTCTGCATCTAACTACACCAGACTAGATATTGAGAAACCCAGTTCTGCTGCTAAAGTAGTTGCTTGTCCTTCAGTAGTTTGCTGCCCATTTTCTGAGATAGAAAGTCTAATTATCTTCATAGTATTTCTGGACAATCCTTTGTCCACAGTATCACTGATGAACCGAAATATCTGCTCTAGTAGCTGTAATACAGTAAGTGCGTGATACGAGGTACCTACCAGCGCTGCTCGCCCTCTGACGAGGAGTCGGTGTGCTGTCCAGTGACTTCCTGGGACCGTAATTCCCTAGGTCCACGAGTCTCCTCTCTTTGATAGAGTCCCATACAAAGTCTGGGTTGGCAATATGGATACGGTTCTTTCGGATGGAGCTCAGCTGATACTGGCTCAGAACATCAGCGCTGTCCAAGATGACATGCGTGCACTAAGAAAACATAAACCCACCATGCGTTAGCAAAAACAAAACTCAAATAAATTGTTTGCACTTGTCATTTTCAACCTTGTTTGTAATCATTTTTCTCAGATTCCTAAAACTTTTATGACTAATACAATTTCTAGTTACATAAATGTAAAAAAAAAACCAAGTTTTAAAAGAGCATGGGTTTGGATGTCCCAGGACTGATTAACCAATTAACCACCGCATCGTAAGAAGTAAAAGTTGAAGTCTGAAGTCATTGGACCCAGGCCTGCAAAGGCAGGTTGCTCTCCGTCTGTCAGTGGTTGGGGGCTGACTCCCCCTGCCCCTTCCTGGACCACAGCCCAGGGGTTGTGCCCAAGTTTCCACGACTGTCAACAATGCTGGGTTGGATGTCTTCATCTACACATCTTCAGACATGTATTTAATTACTCCTTTAGGAATGGAATCAAGACGTTCAAAAGGTATTCATTATTTTTATTTATTTTAATCGGTTCACCAATAATTTTGCCAATTTACTTTTGAGTAAATATACGACATGCACACATTGGAGAATATCTAAAAGGTAAAACAAGAGTGCTAAGGTTACTCACTCCCCACTGCTGGTCCCAGCTCCTCCCCTCAGAGGCACCAGTCGGGCGCCCGCCTGGGGCTGCTGTCTGTGTGGACAGCCCAACAGACGCACATGCTGAGTTATCCGAAAGACATTCCTCACTGTCACATATTCGACTGTCTCTTTTGCTCGAGTAGCTGTCTGTGCAGCTTAGGATTTATGCACATTGGAAAACAGCTTACAGAAAGGCTGCACTCACGGTCTTAAAAGTGGCAGACCATGTTGGCATGCTCGGCCCAGAAGATGAACTGAGGTGTAACAAGCATGAACTGTTCATCCTCCCACAGAAACGCTGAGACAGGTAAGTGAGGAGAGCCCTGGAGGGAAGCACGTACAGTCCTGCCTAAACTGGGGGCAAACTGCGACATTCCAGTTCTGATGTTCACAGCAAACTCCTGAGTCCCAGGGAAGCCCCCAGCCCCCAGCTGGAGCTGCCAGAGCCCCATGGAACACACCCCAGCTGTGGTCTGGGAGGGGCCGGCAGGGACGGGTCCGGGCCTGCTGGCCTGGGGTCTCACGGCTTCCAGTTTCAGTTCTCACTTCTGGTGATGAGGCGGTTTGAGGGGGGTGGCCTTAATTACTGTGGAGGTTTCGTCCAGCTGTGAGTTCCTATTCCTAAGCTGTCAGGCCTACAGTTCACTTCAGACGGGAGCTTCCTTGGGCCTTAAATGAACAAAACTAACAGTACCAGTTGTGCTGCAAAGATCGCTGAGGCTGTGAGGCTTCCTTTCCACCCCGTGAGCCACACGCATGGGGTCCCACCAGCGTCGGGGTAACTGTGAGGGCCTAGGCAGAGTGCTGTCCGCAACGCTGTGCGCTGTAACCTTGCTCTTTTGAGAACAGGTCGGTCTGAAATGATTTCCATTTATGCCTGCGGCTGTGCTCCAATAAGGTTAGCTCCACAGAGCACACAGGGCTGTCCTCCAGCCAGGGAACAGGGAGGGGATGGGCCTGGGGGGGGGCTTCCCTCCTCGCCCCCCAAGTCCACCTCCCTCTCGGTGACCTTAGTCCCTCCTGCTCCAGTTTTCTCTACTGCTTGTCTTAACCACGACTCGACTCCCTTAATGCGCAACATTTATCACACGGTTCTTAGAAAACCTGCAGATACCTGTGCATTTAATAAGAAGGAAAAATTTCCACCATTTTCCTTGATGTCAGTTTGTAGCTTTTTCTTCTGTTGACGAGGTAAGTGCTTGAGTTTCAAACAGAAGGTACAATTTGCAAAGATCCCCACAGTCATCCTGTAGGAAAAAAAAAATTCCAAGTCATAGTTTTTAAGGATTCTCTTTTCAGTGAATGTAATTGACAGTGAATTTAGAATGCCCTCAGGCAAACTGCGGGACAGTCAGGCACTGTTTTAAAACAAGACATTGCAACCATGTAGTAATCACAAAAACTGAACATTACCCAAGCTTGCAATATGTATGTTGGTTTCTAATTTTTATGGTTAATACTGTAACACCCAAAATCCTTTTGCATAAGCTTATGATATGCATCCTTATGAAAATGTGAGATTTCAGTTACAAATGGGCATCTTTTAAGACTACAGAAGCATTTCTTTTTTTTTCTTTTAATGGAGATACTAGGGATTGAATCCAGACTCTCGTGCACGCTAAGCACACATTATTCCACTGAGTGATACCCTGACCCAGAAGCATTTATTTCTAAATTAAAAATTAACATTATGTGATAGTGAAGATGATGCAGGAAAACGGATGTGGGGCCTGAGATGGGCTGTGTCCCAGGCTTCGGTTGAGCCCCTGGAACATGCCGCCAGGTGTGGGCCCTTGGCTTCGCACAGGAAAGAATTCAAGAGCGAGCCACAGTTGAGTAAAGGTAGATTTATTCAGACAGATACATTGAAAGGCAAGAGAAAGGCCACGAAGTGTGGGGGTTGGGTGCTCAGATTAGAGTAAAAGTAGGTACACATTCCATAGACAAGAGTGTGGGCCATCTCAGAAGGGGTAGAGACAGAGAGAGGGAGGCCGCATGCGTGAGGCACCGTGTTGCCAGTTTTTATGGGCTCAGTGGCTTCATGTGCTAATAAGTGGAAGGACCATTCGAACTAGTCTGGGGAAGGGGCTGGGATTCCCAGGATTTTCCCACTCTTGGACCCTTTGTGGCCAGCGTTGGGACTGCCATGGTGCCTGTGGGCATATTATCCAGCATGCTGATACATTACAATGGGCGTATAATGAAGCTCCAGGTCTACTAGAAGTTAAATCTCCCACCATCCTGAGCCTCAAGGCCTCCTGGAGGTTGACTCTTTCACCATTTTGATGTGAATTGTGTAGGCCCCCCAACTGTGGGAACAAAGGACCGAGCCTTGGGCTGGATTGGTAAACAAGTTATAAAAAGCTGCAGACTCAGAGGTGAGAAGGCTGGTTAGCCAATCACGGGTAAGATCCCCAGAGGGGGGGAACCTAAGACAGGCACAGCCGCCTGAGTCCAAGAAGAAAGTTGTGAAGCAGCCATTTCTCACACGTTCCCCCCTGATTAGCCGTAAGGCTCGCTGGTGCCAACACCGTGATTTACCAAAACATAAAGAGTCTTCTGACCTTGAGCCAGACACTGCCTGTTAACCATTTCCCTTATCATTCTTCTTTGCTATATAAGACTGTGTAACTTAATAAAGCTTCAGAGTAGCCATCAGCTCTCTCCGCATACGGTGTGTATGTGTACATGATATCGCGACACCAACAAATTGCTGTGGCATTCCTTGAATGGCTGTGCCCTGCCCTCTTCCTGTCTCAAAACCATGGGTTTTTATATGTAATTCTTCTATAAATTCAAAGAGATTCATCAGTTAAGTGAGTTTCTGTTAAGCCAGTCTGGAGAAAAACTGAACAGTTAATAATAACAATACCTTTATTTTTACTTTTAAACATTTGAAGTTAATTTATTTTACCATGTCATACATTCCCACATATAGAGAAATACTTCTAAGAAAAAAAGCGTATTTTAAATTGAAATAACTTTGATGTGTGTTTAACAAAAAACTAATAAATGGTGAGATCTGGGTTCAATTTACAGTAGCCATTTGTGGATTTTAACCTGGAGTCATCTCTAAGAGCTTGCCCACAGTGGGCTGGTGCTTTGCGAGGGGTTCACAGGTCCCACAGGATTGAGGGTCAGCGAGCAGGTGGCCTTCCTCAACCGGCCTCCTCAGCCGCACCTGCCCTTGACCGCGGTTCCCCTGGCCCCTGTTCCCTTTCGCCTTTGCTGGGCAGTTGTGCCCACAACTCCGGGCCCTAAAGGCGTCTGTCTGCAGACAACCCCCAATTTAGGGCAGAACGTCTGTCTGACGCTTCCCCACGCGCGGCTCCTGGCGGATGGTGGCCCCTGTCCGCTGGGCTGCGGTCCAGGCCTGACCGCACCAGTGCACCTACGCATCCTGCCCCTGGAATCCAGGCACTTTCCCCGTCCCCGCCCCCCCCCCCACGCAGCAGAGCCCTGACTGTCGCCCCGCTTCTGCTCCTCTAGGCCTCTGATCACTTCTCCACAGTGAGTGCACACAGAGCCTCTCCTCGTATTTGACACTATTTGCATATTCGGACTCAAAGGGCCTCAATGGGCCTCAATACCGCACCTCTCTAATGGGACCATCAGACCCCTGGGGAAGCAAAGGCCGCCTACTTAGGTGTTGGGCCTCTTCTAGGCACACAGGTGGGGCCCTCTCAGTGCTCACTGGTAAGTGCTCACATCACACATGAAGAAAGACTCTGTGTGCGGGTGTCCGGGGTGCGCTCCCCCCTTCATTAGGGCGCCGTGCGCAGTGTTTGTTCCCTTAGGGTTAGTCCTCATCCACAGGTCGAGCCCGCCTTCCTGGAGGCGGAGACTTTGGGTCCCTCTCACCCCAGGTGAGGCCTGGGTGGGGCCAAATGAGGCCTGAGCGAGGCCCCACTGAGCCCGGGGTTGGACTCCGGGTGAGGCCCGGGTGGGGCCCTGGGTGAGGTCCCCGCGAGGCCCGCGTCCGCACAGGCCGCACTCGCTCACTCCGGTTTCCAGACCTGGATTCAGCACGCACCTGCCCCAGTTTTCCCTCAGGAGCTCCGGTCACTCCCCAGGTCGGGTTACATTCTCTGAGGGCTCACGGAAATAACTGCATTTTGCACGTCTTTTCCTTTGAAATCTAACTCAGAAGAAGGCCGGGCTGCACAGCATGTTGGAAACAAGACACACTTAAGTTTTATCGCCTCTGCTCATTGTCGCGAGCTCGGGACGCACCGGGAGACCCGGGCTGCCCCCCAGTC